TGTTGTCAAAAGAAGACACGTTACTCATCAAAGTAAAGCGTTTCTCTGGGAATTAATACTTAAGTATCACGTGCCATAGTGTTTTTTAAGATAATCATCACAGCATGCTACCAGAAGATGTCTTTTAAAAATATAAACCATACAAGAGGGACCCAAAAAAAACCCCAGAATTATCTTTTGGGAGAGCAGATCCCTTGTAGTACAGGCTTCCCCCGCTAGGTAAGTGTTTAAGAAACCCATCAGCATCTCTGTTCCAGCTAGCATTGTTGTGAGAGGCTGCATTCAGCTTTAGTGAATTTTTTTGTTGTTGTTTTTGGAGATTCTTTCAACACACTTGCCCATTTCATTATGGGTGATTTATGAGCACACCTGCCCACACCAGGTTAAGCTGTCAGCAGTTTTTGACCAAAAATGTCATATCCCCCATGCCCCACCCTCTCCATTCACCCAGTCTTGCCCTAAGCAACTTTGTTTTGTTTCCTGAATGAAAAAAGTCCTCAAAAGGAAATGTTTTGCTGATGTGGAAGAGGTGAAACAAATAATGGCAGAAGCACTACACGGGCACCAAAATTGACGAGTTCAAAAACTTTTGAGCAGTGGAAAAAGTGCCCTAATCGGTGTATTGCATCAAATGGAGAGTACTTTGAAAGTAACTGAAATTTAAGCATGTAAGAATAAATATGCTATTTTTTATAAATAAATTCTGAGTTTTTTTAAGTCCCCTTTATATTTCTCAGGACAAATACAGAATTTGGCACATGCCACAGCATGTGAACCATGCTAATGAACCATGTTCCCACAATGTTGACCTAAATACATCTCACAACTGTACCAGGATGTGGATGCTTCCATTGAAATAGGAATCGTTGTTGGAAGACTGAAAAAAAAAAGTGATGATGATATCCGTTGGATAGAAACAAAAGCAACTCTCAGATTAGAGATCATCGAACTCTCCGTTGGATAGAAACAAAAGCAACTCTCAGATTAGGGATCATCGAAGCTGTGTGCTCTGCTCAAAGCACAGTGGCCCTGAGGCTGTGTGAGCAACACTAAACTGGAAAGGCTCTGGAGACCTCCATGTACCTAGGAGCATAAGTGTAATTGAAAGAAGAAGGGGCTATACCCAACATTCCACAAAGATCCACTCAGTGTCAGTTATGCACTAAGCCCTTCACAAGTAGCTGGATATATAATAATGAATGAAATAGTCATGGAATTTACAGTCCAGTCAGTAGAGGCCAACACTAAGCAAATCACACAGGAGTGCACAAGTAAATCACTTAATTACAGCTATAAATGCTGTCTCCATGGGAAAGAAAGCTCCGCATGCTCAAAACTTTGAATCAGTCGCATGTTGTAGCTCTGGCCTGGTGAACAGTGCTTGGCAGATAGCAAGCACTTCCTGCATATTTGTTGACTCAGGTAGTAAATTATGGAAAAGAGGACAGGAATCAATGAGAGCACAAGCATGGAGTTCTAACCAAGCCGAGTGGCACAGTTGTGACAGGATGATATTGGATTCATTAGAAGGAGCTAGGGAGAATTCCTTCCATCTTGATTGCCTGGAATACTTTCAATAGAATTGATATCAGCTCTTCCCTGTACATCTTGTAAAATTCAACTGAGAAACCGTCTGGTCCAGGGCTTTTTTTGGAAGGGAGTTTTCTTTTTCCTTAGTCAATATCTTGGATAGTTAGTGGTCTTTTAGGGTTTCAATTTCTTCCTGTTTCAATCTTGGGAGATTATGTGATGCCAGGAGTTTCTCCAGTTCCTCTAGATTTTCCAGCTTACTCACATACGCATGTTTATAGTAATCTCTGATAATCTTTTATATTTCTTCAGGATCAGTTGTAACATCACCTTTTTATATTTAATTGTGCTTGTCCAAATTTTCTTTTTCTTTTCTTTTTGTTAATCTGGTCAAGGATCTGTCAATCTTATTTATCCTTTCAAAGAGCAAGTTTTTTATCTTGTTGATCCTCTGCATAATTTATTTGGTCATATTTCATTTAGCTGTGAATTTATTTTGATGATTTTCATTGTTCTACTGATTCTGGGATTAGATTGCTTTTACCTTTTCAGTTCCCTTAGGTGTGACATTAGGCTATCTACTTGAGATCTCTCTATTTTCTTGATATGCATGCAATGTTATAAATTTCCCTCTCAGCATTGTTTTCAACCTTTATTGGTTTAAAGTCAGCTTTGCCTGATATAAGAATAGCTACTTGTGGCTGGGCTCGGTGGCTCAGCCTATAATCCCAGCACTTTGGGAGGCTGAGGTAAGTGGATTGCCTGAGCCCATGGGTTCAAGACCAGTCCAGGCAACTTGGCGAGACCTCGTCTCTACAATAAATCAAAAATTAGCCAGGCATGGTAGCATGCCCTTGTAGTTTCAGTTACATGGAAGACTGAGGTGGAAAGATCACTGGAACCCAGTGGGTTGATGCTGGGGTGCTAGTAAATGGCCGCTGCACTCCAATCTGGGCAACTCAAAAAAACAAAACAAAACAGAAAAGAAGAATAGTTACTTCTGCTCCTTTTTGTTTTCCATTTTCCTGGAAGATTTTTCTCCATCCCTTTTTACCTTGATCCTTTGTGTGTCATTTGCAGTGAGAGGATTTTCTTGAAGGCAGCAGAATGATGGAGCATGCTTCTTTATTCAATTTGCCACTCTATTCCTTTTGAGTGGTTTGTTCAGTTTACTCACTTTTAATTACTGATATGAGGGGGTATATTCTTTCATATTGCTATTAAGAGGCTGCTTTGTGTTTTAGACTGGTAGTAAATTCTTTGCTTGTCTACTTTTTTGCAGTAGGTGAAACTGTTCTTCTGTTTCTGTGCTTAGAACTTTTTAAAGCATCTCCAGAAGAGCTGGTTTGGAGGTAGTATATTCTTTTAGGGACTAGTCTGGAGAGGCTTTTACTTCTCCTTCATTAATGAAATTAGCTTGGTGAGGTAGGAAATTATTGGCTGAAATTGTTTTTCTTTAAGAATGTTAAAGATGGGACCTCTATCCCTTCTGGCTTGTAGGGAGTCTGCTGATAAGTCTGCTGCAATTCTGATGGGTCTTCCCCAAGTGAGTGGTGTGTCCCTTCTCTCTACCTTCCTTTAGAATTTTTGTTATGTCATTCTTACCTCGGTGAGTCAGATTTATGTGCCTTTGGGATGGTCTTCTCATGTACTACTTCACAGGATTTCTCTAAAATTCTTGCATCTGCATGGCCACCTCTTTAGAGAAATAGGGAACGTTTTCTTGGATGACATCTTGGAAGGCTTGTTCCAACGTGTACTCAGTTTCCTATTCTCTCTTAAGGATGCCAATCAACCATAAATTTGGTCTCTTTACATAATCCCAGACCTCTTGTAGGCTTTGCCTGTTCTTCCTAACCCTTTTCTCCTTGTTTTGTCAGACTTGTTTCTTTCAGTAGTTCAATCCTCAGGCTCTGAAATTCTTTCCTCTGCCTGGTAAATTCTGCTATTAAGGTTTGCTATTGTGCTTTGAAATTCCAGGAAAGAATTACTCATTTCAAGAAGTTCAATTTTGTTCTTAGAATGGTCAGGTCAGCTTTCACTTTCTCCAGTGTTTTCATGGCTTAGATGATTTGAGTGTCCACTGTCTCATGGATCTTGTTGCATATCTTCACCATCCATAGTCTGAATTCTATGCCTGTTGTCAGGGACAGGTCGTTCTGAATGAGTTTCATTTTGGAAGATCTGGGAAGCCCTTTCTTACATGTCAACTCATTAAAGCTTTGGGGATTGCCAGGTTTTTCACTGATTCTTCCTCATCTGTGAAGGCAAACTCTTCTCTTTTTATTTTTTGTTTTGCTATGGTTTGCTAAATAAAGTTGCCACTATTGGAGCGGCAGTTTGTATTGTATTTTTTACCTGTCCTTCCTCTTCTGGTCTGCCTGTGGGAGGAGTAGCGGTGGCAGAAAGAGTGGTGAACTGGGGGTTTTCCCAGTGCAGTCTGGTGGGGCGAGACAAGTCCTTTTCTCCAGTCCAGAAGCTTTCCCCTTCCTCCAGTTCAGATGCCAGGGGCCCTGGCTGTCTGGGGGCTCCAGCAACCCCCTCCCCAGCCCAGGAGCCTTGTCAGCAGGTTTGACAGGTAGTCAGGAGGGGACTCATGGTTCTGCTCTGGCACAGGTGCTCTTGTGGGCGTGGTCTTTTCCCACCTAGGCAGGACTGCCCCTCTCACCCAGATGTAGAAGGGAAGCAGCTGTCTTGTTGGTGGAGAGTTAGTGTTTCTCCCTCAGTTTAAAGGTGGGTTGGGCTACTAACTACGCACTGAATAGAGGCACCTACCTCCTAGCTCCCACTCTGCTTTGTGGGAGTGGCTGTGGCAGTGATGGTGGCCCCTGAGGGCAAGCTGCATCTGCAGCATTATTCTGGGGCCACAGTGGATGCTGGTGCCAGAAAAATGTCCTCGAAGTGGGCATGTTGCCCTTTCGGGAAGCTGGAGAGGGAGGGACAGGAGAGCACCCACTCAGTGTAGACCACCCTTGCAGAGTGTTACCCACTGAGTCTCTCCATAGGAGGAGGGTTCGGTGGACATTTCACTGGGGCTTTCTGGAAACTAGGGTTCCCTGGGCTCCATGTGGACCCTGCCAGTGCCTCTGATTCAGGGCAGCCGTCTGTACCTGGCCCTTGCAGGAGGAGTAGGGGAAGAAGACCTGGATTGTCTCTCCCTTGGCTGGGACTGCAGAGGCTCGTGTGAGGTGTGGTGAAAAAAGTTACTGCTTTCACTCATCTTTTCCTTCTCCAAGAGTCGACATGTTGTCTATGGAAGTAAGATTTTACTGAATTAGTATTTTGGTTCAATGCTTTTATGAATTTAAGTTTTTTAAAATGTCGTTTTCTTTCTTGGTCAGCCATTCATAACAAACAAAAATAATTGATTTGGAAAATTTTAGAAACTTTAAGGTGTCTTACGACTTCTAATAATTCTTTTTTGTGTGAAATTCACTGTTGCCTAATTCACTTCCCCCCCTCCCCTTCAGGTTTGGATGTGTGGAGGAGAAATGTTTGATGTTCCATGTTCTAGAGTCGGCCATATATACAGAAAGTACGTCCCTTACAAAGTTCCGTCTGGGACCAGCCTGGCAAGAGTGAGTAACTGGGGATCAGAACAGTCTAGGCTTGGTGTGGTTTTCTGTGGGTGGAGGAACCAGCCTCACACATGGAACAGTCTAAGGCACAGACTGACAGAAACTGCTCAGTGTGTAGAGAGCTCCTGTGTTTCTCAGAGTTTTATTCCCTTTGCTTAAGGAGGTTTTTAACTATTATGCTAATTCTTGTCATTAATTGTTTCAAAGCATTTTCACATGGTTTATATTTAGCCTTCACCAGGATTTTGAAGTCGGTATTCGTATCCTTATTTTGTAGATGTGAAAGGGAGGGGATTGTCCAAGCTCACATGTGTGATGAGTAGCAGAGTAGGTATATGGAATGGGCGGCTAGTTTTTTCCCCCTCTTATGGAGTGTAACAGAACATGTAGCTAAGTCAAATGGAGAGAGGTATAGATGTGAGAGATGGAGAGATGGGGGAAGAGAGATGCCCAAGCTCTGCCTTCTTCTTGATTGTAACCAGGGCCAGCTCTACCTAAAGTTTTGCCCCATTCTCAAAGTTCCAAAATTGGCTGAGTCTAAGATTTTTTTTCAGATAATTTTTTGAATAAAATTTCCTCAGAGACCCAATGCAAAGATGCTTTTCTCTTCTGCCTTTTAGGATGCTGTCATATATGTTTGGGAGGACTTAATCACAGTACCTTCTCCAGAAAATCCTGATAATTTCTGTATTTTCCATGTAACTTTCTCCATGAATGGGTCCGTTTTCTTCACCACAATATAAACCTGCTACTGCTCAGAGACCAAATGTAGAAAAGGGGTATTTTACCACACCTCTGCATAATGATCCCCTAGAAATCTAATCTTAAATTATTTATTTCAGTTATTTTACCAGCAAAGCTATACTATATAACTATCTAAAGCCAATAAGCTCACCTAACAAGTTTTTGCAAAAAAAAAAATTACAGTAAAATAATCTATCAGGATACATTAGAGTATCAGCCCCACAAGGACAAGAGCCTTTGGTCTGTGCTCTTTGCTGCTACACTCACAGCACTTAGAACAGGGCTTGGTGGGGTCTTGGATATTTGTTGAAAGAATTAATTAATCCGGAAATCTAAAAAGATAGAATGCTATGGGTTTAAGTTATTATTAAAACTTAAGCATTAGCCAGGCGTGGTGTCTCACGCCTATAATCCCAGCACTTTGGAAGGCTGAAGTGAGAGGACTGCCTGAGCTCATGGGTTCGAGACCAGCCTGGGCAACTTTGAGAGAACTCACCTCTACAATAAATCAAAAAATTAGCCAGGCGCAGTGGCTCGTGCCTATAGTTCCAGCTACTTGGAAGGCTGAGACAGAAGGATCGCGGGAGCCCAGCAGGTCGAGGCTGAGGTAGCTGTGAGCGTGCCACTACCCTCCAGCCTAGGCAATAGAGTGAGACTCCAACTCAAAAAAAAAAAAACTTAAACATTTTCACAAAGTTTAATAAAATTTTCATTTATAGTGAGTCTTTTGAGGGGAAAGATTGTTCTTTCTTATTCTCTTTCTGAGATTATTTGTCAACAGTGCCCACTTTTATAGTCACATTTGCCACAGAGGTTAGGGTTTAGAGTTAATGACATTATGCTACATACACCTTGAAGGGGAATACAAGTTGAGGATCCCTTATCCAAAATGCTTGGGTCCAGAAGCATTTCAGACTTCATATTTCTTTCGGGCTTTGGAATATTTGTATATACATAATGGGATATCTTGGGGATGAGACCCAAGTCTAAACACAAAATTCACTGATATTTCATATACACGTTATACATGTGGCCTTAAGGTAATTGTGTGCAATATTTTTAATATTTTTGTGCATGAAACAAAGTTGGTGTGGCAATTCTCACTTGTGGCAACATGTCAGTGCTCAGAAATCTCTGGATTTTGAAGCATTTTAGATTTTGTATTTTCAGACGAGGGATGCTCAGCCTGTAGTCATACTTTTCCTTCTACTCCCCTCCCCCAAATGAATAAGGTGTTATTTTCAGACTCCTCTAAGTTACTGCAGAGATACACTATTTGAAGAAAAGAATCTGACTACAAAGTTATAAAGTGATTAAAGAGCTATATCTTGGGTAAGGAAATGTGGTTTATTTAATCTTTAGACTTAATATACATGAGTTAGAAACCAACAAGAATTCACAGAAAGGTAAATGAGTGAACAATTTCTTGCATAAATCAGTCACATGAATATCATATATCTTAGCAGTTTAAAATCCCTAAAGTTTAGGGTGTTCTGCCACTTCTCCACTTTCGTTTATCCATTGGCTTTCCAGCTTGCACCCCAAAATGAGTCATTCATTTGCCAGACAGATGGTGGGTGTGCTTGGCTTGTAAGGACAACGTGATACTGATCCAAAAGGGTTCATTTTCAAAACATAAACTCTTCATATATTTTCAGGAAATGGATTGAGTACTTTTTTCAAGGACTGTCAAATATAGGGAAATTGGGGCTGATACATAAAACTTCTAGGAAAAAGTGATTATCCAGTCAAATGAACACGTCCATAATTCTGGATTTTAATCTTTTC